ACCCACCCACCCAGACACACACACACCTACCTCTTTGTCCCAGCCTTCGTCGCCTCTCCTCGCCCTCCTATCGCCGTGCCCCTCTTACGTATTTCTCCCGCCAAGTCCGATACGTTCGACTAAGGGTTAGATCCCACTACCCTGGATTATTCATTTTTCACCCTCGATTACGAAGATCAACGGTCAGAAATGAGCAATACGGGCTAGTGGGATCTGGCCCTAAGCCAAGCCGCTCGTGCTTGTATTCACAAGAAGAGTCAGGTTTAATTATTTTCGCTGCTCTCATTTATTTACATGTCTTGCTTCCCTTTTCTGTAGCGCTGCGCGCCGTTTAGCTTGTGAATCGGATCGGGTGCGACGCCACTACACTCTCTCTCTCTCTCGCGCGCGCGCGCGCGCGCGTCACCGAATCCGTTCGCTGAGCTGGCGGAGATCGGACGACTCGTTCGCCCCCTCTCGATTTGACGTTCGAGTAGAATTAGCGTTCTTCGCAAACGCAGAGGGTAGCAGAAAAGAGGAAGGAGAAGAGGAGGAGGAGGAAGAGGAAGAGGGGGAAGAGGAAGAGGGGGAGGAGGAAGAGGGGGAGGAGGAGGAGGGGAAGCAGGAAGAGGGGAAGCAGGAAGAGAAGGAAGAATACCTTTCTCCGCCTTTTGGCTAAGATCAAGTGTAGTATCTGTTCTGATCAGTTTAATATCTGATCCGTGGTCCATCGGACCACACGATATTAAATTATTTTTTTGGGGCTATGGAGGGGTCATATGGGTAAGCTTGCTTGCACGACCCCTCCAGCGTTGCCTCTGTATTGCACTGCAGCAGAGTGCGGCGAAGCCCTCCTCCCCTCCGGAGAAACAAAAAGAAAAAAAAAAAAAAAAAGAAGAAAAAGAAGAAAAAGAAGAAGAAGAATGAAGACGAATGAAAAAAAAAAATGACGCCCCCCACGTGCAAAAAAAAAAAAAAAAAAAAAAAAAAAAAAAAAAGAGAAGGAAGAGGAATAAGGGCGAGATCCCACTGGCAAAACCGATTGGAATAACTGTCTGAATCTGGACGTGTTTGTGCAGAGGGGTAAAAAACTGTAATTGCTCTGCTTTTCTGCATCACTTCCTGGAACACGTCCTGATTCAGACACTTATTCCAATCCTCTTTGCCAATGGGATCTGGCCCTAAGTAAGAGCAGTTCCAGGAGGAGCCGGCGACGACGACGAGGACAACCGTCTTCATCCGAATAGAACGCCAAGTTATTATCACTGTATCTGGACCGCAACTTGGCCCAGATGCAGCTGTAATGACCGCGGGCAGCAGGAGGCGGAGTGGCCCTAAGTAAGAGCAGCTCCAGGAGATGGAAAGGAAAGTCGAAATCGAAATTTGCAAAACAGTAGAATAGTCTGGCAGTGTTTTTCCCTCATCTATTTCCTCTTCTTCCTTACCTGCCTTCTCGCCAACTTCATCTTCACACCCTCTTTATGCATTCTTTACTTCCCCCATCAGGGGAACTACCAACCTTCTCCGTCAGATTTTGCTTCCCCCACTTCTGGCTTCCTCCACCTTCTCCCACTACTCCTCTAAAGCTCCTTACTTTCTGATCATCTCACACCCCTTCCCTTTAGATAACACGGTACCTTGTCATCCTTTCCCCATTGATACATCAGTAGATACAGAAGAGTTCTTAAGACACCTAAACAATTTAGTACAGATGTTTCTCGGGTCTTACTAGTCCCGTCAAAAGCGAAGCTGGCTATAGCTGCCAGAGGAGACAAACCGGGTTGAATTGTGGGGACCCCGGCCCCTTTCTTTCATGTTGGCAATCAAACAAACATTTAAAAAAAATAAAATAAAATAAAAAATCGCAAAACACCTTCAAGTTGGACGGGCACCATACGAAAGAAATGTACTTGGACGGGGAAGGGGAAAGATACATGATGAACCTATAGGTGAAAGGTGGAAAGTTACATCCGCCATTTTATTATTATTATTATTATCGTTTTCACATTATGTGAGAGGCGCGGTGACGCCCAGAGAGCACGGAGGAGAGAGAAGAAGAGCGAGGAGGAGGAGAAGATAGCCAATCGCGCAGTTACCCTATATATAAATATATATATATACTACCACCGGTGAGTCCTTGATCGCCTGGATTCTCCCATCTGGACCGTAGATTCAGAAGATGGACCTGGCTCCACTTCACAACATTGGAAACGTATGTGGAGCTCCTTATTGTCCCCATACATACATTTAAAAAAAAAAAACGAGTGATTAGGTAGTCCAAATATATCTGAAGCAGATGTCATTGCACACACGTGTAAAAAAAAAAAAAAAAAAAAAAAAAAAAAAAAAATGTTGAGCAGCGGAGCGAGGCCCGATCACAGTCTACAAACGCATAATCCGGTTGGGTGGGACATCGCCACAAGCGCAGGATGAGAGGAGAGAAGCGAAAAGAAAAGAGCGTACTACCTTCTTCCCCCGAACATAACGCACCCTGAAAATGAATGTATACAAGCTATATTTCCGGTTCGGTACAGCCGTAATCAGGGTGCGCCTCTGTGTTCAAGGCGGAAGACGGTAGGATAGAGAAGAGAGAGCAGGCGCCAAGTCCCCGCGTTTCGAAATTTTCTTCATTTCTGATCGTCGATCTCTGAGATCTAAGGTCAAAAATGGAGTCGTCGGGTAGGTGGGACTTCGCCCCAGCAGATAGAAAATAAAAATAAAAAAAAAAGAAAAACGCAGGGAAGGAGATGAAGACAAAAGGGAGGATGGCCATGACGTACACATCTCAATCCATGAGCGGAAGAAACCGGATTAACGGATCATTAACCAGATACCCCGACGAAAAGACCGGTGGCTTTGCACATGAGTGCCGCTGTCATTGATATGAAGTTTCATTCTCTTCACAGCATCGCGAATGAAAGTTCATATATCAATGACAATCATTCTCTTCCCCCCAATAGCTCAGTTTTTTTTTTTTTTTTTTTTTTTTTTTTTTGGGAAATAGCTCAGTTGATACACACCCGTGGACTGTTGAAATATAGATAATTGTGAATAGAGTAAAAAAATAGACCGAAAAATATAGGTAGGAATATAGACCGAAGTTCGTTCGAATCCAGATGCAATCAAGATAATTTATTTATTTATTATTTTTGTTTAAAAAGGGCGATGGCCTTGAGGTATTATCAATTCTGAATGACCTGAAACCGGTCAGCTCAAAAAAAAAAAAAAAAAAGGAAACCGGTCAGCTCGATGATGATATGTCTTTTTTTTCTTTTTTTCTTTTTTTCTTTTTTTTGGGACAATGGTCCAATCTATTCGTGGGGAGCCGCACGTGCTGGGAACCGGGCCCAGCGTCCCATTTGGAACAGGAAACATATTTGAGAGCACATACAATAAAAAAAATTGATGGCCGTCGCCCTTTCAAAACGAAGGAAAAGAAGAGTCTCTCTCCTTCGGCGATGAAAAAATTACATGAGTAATTACATGAGTCCTCCGGGACATCCGTTAAAATTGGAACGATACAGAGAAAAAGAAGATTAGCATGGCCCCTGCGCAATGATGACACGCATAAACCGAGAAATGGTCCAAAAAAAAAAAAAAAAAAAAGAAATACATGAGAAGTAGCATTTGTTGACGACAGATTACATACGTTTTTTTTTTTGTTTTTTTTTGCTATGTTCTTCTCTCAATTTCACCTCACACTACCTACCTACCACTACTCCTAATTGTTGACATTGGAAGAAGATAAAAGAAAGTCTCAGGGTCAGGGCATACTCACACTACAGGTATCGCCCACCTGCTGGTGGGTGCAGCTCGCGCATGTTCCCTCGTTGGAGGCTTGAGCACGGATGCTATATTCTTCTCTCAATTTCACCTCACATTACCTACCTACCACTGCTCCTTTTTTTTTTTTTTTTTTTTTTTTTTTTAAATCGGGCGGTGCTAGAGGTGCTGTACCTACCACCGCTCCTAATTGTAGGCATACGGGGAACCCTGTGCAGCCGGATGCATTTTGGAATGTGCTACCGGTAGTGTGAGTGTGCCCTCAGGGTCGGTTTGACTCGTCCTTCTCACAAGAGGATTTTTCTTTTGTTTTTTTTCACAAGCGGATTGGAAACGCCAATTTCTCTCCATCAGGACCCCAAGACCCCAGCGGCAGCCGCTCACCAAGCTAACCAGCCAGGAGCCGTTCCTTTGAACGTTCCGACTTCATCAGGCATCCGGATCAACCCCACTTTCTCTCCATCAGGACCCCAAGACCATCAACAGGGAGGGACAGTTCAACAACAAGGTCAGCGGCAAGGACAAGGTCATGATTCAGCCCTGGAAGAGAGGTGGGCAGCCTACTTGAACTGCCTACCCACAGACCCGTTTGTGGGGTCGCAAACTGGCCTGGGCCCGACGAGGTATCAGGTGGGGATGAGCCCCTCCTTGTCGAATCTGCATGCGTTCTCTCCATGGGTGCCAATGGGGCTTCTTCAGAGAGGTGTGCATGTCAGCAGAGAAGGCTCCTTACAACATCAGTTCACCTCGCCTTCTGGGGGCGGGACTCCCAGGGACTAGGGACTAGTGGTAGCCGCCTACGGGGCGAATCCAAGGGTAAGCAAAGAAGGGTTAGCGAGGGGGGCTTGAATATACAAGTTGGCCTTCAAACAGAGAACTCAGAAAGCTCCACTGGCTCACAGGCCACTCCCTCGGTAGCAGGTAAGCGAAAATCTGCACGTCATCGTATGGATGCATTGTCGAAAGGGCAATGTGTAGTTGACTAAGAGTTCTGCCGAGATTCTGAACTTTCAGCCAGAAAGGGGTTTTTGTTTGTTGCATGGGTAGGGCAGAAAGGGGTTTTTGTTTGTTGCATGGGTAGGGGCGGAACGGTTACCGCTACTTCTGAATTCTGTTTGCCCCGAATCACCTATGCCTCATGCTACGGCCACAATGGCCAGATCCTCGATTCGTGATAAATTTGCTATTCGTATTGTCGAAGCATAGATGCCTAGGCTGCTTGTGGATATCGAAGGTAAGAGATGTCGTTGCTACGTTCCCCTGTTTGATGGGCGCTTCCTGCCAAATCAATTGGAACAATTGGAACAGGAAGGTTTTCTGTTGTTTCCATTGACCTGGCTGTCAGAAGGGAGGAAACCGGAATTGCGCAGATTAAGGGTTTTCCCCCTCGGTCTCAGCGGAATTTTTGTTGGACTGAACATGAAATTCGGGAGGGATTGTGACGCCCAAAACCTCATGCCCAGCGCGACTTCCTGATCGGAGTGAGAGGGGGCCCGGAAGTGCGAGAAAGGGGGGTGTGCCAAGGATTTTAGGAAAGTGGGTGTGGAGTCTCAGGTCGGAACTGAGATCTCCGGTGGCAAATTTAGGGACAACGGTGCAAAATGGTACACGAAGATCGTGTCTGGGATTATCGTCTCTGCCAGTTGTGTCGCTGTGGTCGGTTCCTCATCTGGTGAACCAGTGGGTCGTGGTGGCTGTCGCGCGGTTCGAACAGTTGTCGGCGCCGCTCGGCTTTGGTTCGGGTTTGCCGGGTAATTTCCGAAGCTCGATACGCGTGGTGCCGCTGGCACTTTTCGCACGATGTGCGGGGCCAATAGCGGGCTATGGAATTCCACGGTACCACTGTGAGCTGGTGATATGGAAGGAGGAGGTGGAAGGGAGGGAAATTGGTACTAATAACGACGAAGCCCGCAGATATGTAATATCGAGTGTTGTTAGTCTCCGGATAGTCTGGTCCCCTAGGATCGTTAGTTATGGCCCAGTGAAAGTCTCTCACCCACAGTCGGTCGTTCTCCGCCAGACAGGGGAATTCCGTGTTTCTCAAGTTTCCCCGCCGTCGGAGATGGAACTCGGTCTCCCGCATCCTCATAATGAATTCGAGGTCGACTCATGCAGACGCGCGCGTATGCTGCGACTCGGTTTTCTCGATATCGCGGTCGTACGCGAGCGTGCACATAAGCGAAAGCAGATCAAACTCGGGTTTCTCGTGTCGAGGTATCGGTTGTGTCCTACCTGCATGCAACTATCCTATGCGACAAGTACGCGAATTGTTCCTCTCCTAATCCGGCGCCTTCTCACTACCGGATCCAAGAGGGGTACTTGCTTGTCCACACGCGGGGGAAGGACCTTCTTTGTGTACCGAGTGATCCTCACTTGCGTACACGGCTTCTTGGCGAGTTCCACGATGCTCCCGCCACCGGACACTTTGGAGTCAATCGCACGATTGGCCGACTTCACGAGCAATTTTGGTGGCCCGACCTTCTCGGCGACGTCACACGCTATTGCGAGTCACGCGAGTTTTGCCGACGCTGCAAATCCCGCAACCATCGTTCGTACGGCGAGTTACGACCATTATCGATCCCGTTGAGGCGAAGGGAAGCGATTGCCATGGACATTACCGGCCCGTTCCCCAAGCACAAGACCGGAGTGGATGGGATTCTCACGGTGGTCGACCGACTCACCAAGTTCGCCATGTTTTTGCCTTGTCGCTATCATGCCAAGGCACCGGAGTTGGCCGAGGTTCTCTACGCCGGTTGGATTCGAATCAAGGGTTACCCCAAGGAAATCGTCTGTGACCGCGACACTCAGCTCATGTCCAATTTTTGGTTGGCGCTCATCAAGCGATGGGGCTCATCTCTCAAGCCCAGTTCAGCTCGCCACCCTCAGACCGATGGCCAAACGGATAGGGCGCACCAGACCGCACAGGTTCTCCTTCGCACTCTCATCCGACCTACCAGAAGGACTGGGTTGAGCGGTTGCCGGATGTCGAGTTGGCCTACAACTCTTCCATCCACCCAGCTATCGAGATATCGCCTTTCGAGTTTGAGCACGGCTCGCCGGTCACTTCTCTGTTGGACACCATCACTCCACGAGCGGCCGAGAGCGACGACCATTTTTTTTTTTGCGTCGGATGCAAGAGCTTCTTGTCAAGGCACGCGACCGGATGGCTAAGACGCAGCAGCGCATGAGCCAGCAGGCCAATCGCCCGCGTCTTCCTTGCTCATTCGGCGTCGACGACCTCGTTTGGGTTTCCGCAGCGGAATTCGGTCTTAAACAAGACATCTCTCGCAAGCTCCTCTCGAAATGGATGGGGCATTGGCCGATCGTAGCGCTCGCTGGGGACGCACCCGAGGGACTTTCCTTCACGAGTCAGGTGCCCGCCCACTTGCCCATCTACCCAGTCTTTCATTGCTCCAAGTTGGCTCTTTACACGCTAGCGGAACATGACGATTTTCCCGGGAGACGTTCGCAAGACCCACCCTCTATGGACGTTTTTCAGGAGGTCGGCAACATCATCTCCCAGCGACGCTACGGCAACAGGCCAATCGAGTATTTGGTGCATTTTGCATACTGCACACACCGAGTTGACCGTTGGTTGACCCGTGCGGAACTTCAAGCAACAGCTTCAGACGTTCTCGCACGCTATGAACGCAAGATGCAAGGCAAGCCGGTCTCTTTGGCTCCACGCCGCACCCGCGTCCAGATTCCACCTTCAGATCGTCGGCCCCGCCTTTGCCCCGGCTTGACTTTATAAGGAGGGGGGGGTGTTACATGTTGCGCCTGCACACGAGGGCCATTTTCCAGACCCTGCGTCCCTCAGGCTGAAAGCCTGAAATTCAGGCTAAAAGCCTGAAAACCAGGGCCTACAGGCCTCGTGTCTGTTCAGCCCGAAAGCCTGAAAACAGGGGCCTACAGACCCTGTGTCGTTTCATACTAAAAATAGCAATAGCCTTTTTAGCCTGAAACGAAGGGTCATTTTGGATCGTTCATTAGAACGACCGGCCTTGAAACTCAGGCACCGAACCAGGGTTTCGGGAACAGGCTATTCTTAGCCTGTTCCCACGACAGCCTCAGCAGAGGCTGCAACACCAGCCCCTAGCACACTTCGGCATTGGCAAGAGCAGCCTCCTCGGCCTAGCTCGCCCTTTAGGCAGTCAGGAGGCAGGCCGAGGTAGTACATAGGGACTTCCCATGCACTTCACGGGCAGGCAGGAGGCAGTAGTCTTCAGGATTCGGCCGCATTACTCTGGAGGGAGCGCTGCAGGAGTAGTAGTAGCGTTAGCCTTAGTCTTCAACACTGGGCGCAGTAGGTAGTTGTAGTCTTCAGCGTTGGGCGCCATACCTAGGATAGCACTAGAGAGAGAGAGATTGGGCGGAGGTCAAAGGTACCTACCTGCTGCGCCGTTGCTCCAGCTTCGTCTTCGAGGTACCTGCAGCACAGCGCCCACTTCATAGGTTAGTACTTGGCTCGTAAAAGAGAGAGAGATTTCTTCTTCTTCCTCTTCTCAGTCCACCATCTCCCTCTCACCCTCTCATTATCTGACTTCACTGCATCAGTAGACTACGAGAGAAGAGAGAGAGAGCTTGGTGACATTGGACCCAGACTCGACTTTTTGGCTTCACACATTGCAACGAGGGATTATTCGGGACTTGTGACAAAGACTTGGTGTTGACAACATTCCCATCTCTCTCCCTCCTCTTCGTCTGATCCCCTCCTCTTCGTCTGTGTATGTCTCCCTCCTCTTCGTCTGATCCCCTCCTCTTCGTCTGTGTATGTCTGGACCTGGCGCTCCCTTCCTGTATACAGCGCCAGGCTCCTTCACACTTTGTGATGGACACGATGTATGTTTGGTCTGCGTTCAAACATTGATCGGGCTAGTCATTCGCATTCTAGCATTCTGCTTCGCTATCCTATATTACATGAATGAGATCAGTCCCAGTCAGGTCAGGTCTTGTATCTAAATCTTCCACTGCGCTATTCAACCATTTTTTATGTATCAGAATGCACATTGCTAGTTGAGATTCCACTTGCACAGCATTGTCCATTCAGTCCTTTTTATCACATTGCGGATCCTCGGTTATTATGTACATCGCCCATCCGGGCATGTAACACACACACACACACACACACACACACACACACACACACACACACACACACATACACACACACACACATTGGTGAAAGTCCGACGAAACAGTCTGGCACAGTAATGCTTCTATTTGTGGAGTCCTGTTTACTGAACATGACAGCATACTTCAGCACACACCCGATGCAATAGATGCGGTGGTCCACGTGTCTGCAATTGTAAGTGATGAGAGACACATGATGAACGGCGTAGTACACACAGCAGCCTCGGTGTGACACGATGAGGTCAGTTAGCTCGTCAGATTGCGTGGCAGGGGAAGCTGTGTTCCAGTCCCGCCGGTCTCTGTCAGCCAGTGTCAGGCAATTCTGGTGCTGATAACTGCACCGGATCTGTCTGGCAAGTGTTCCGGAGTCGGATCATCATCAAGCGGGGCTTCCATCAAAATCGGATGGGTGTGCATGATTGTCATCGTCATTTGGACGGGAGCAATCCAGCCAAAGTGAAGTAGAACTGGGGGGGTCAAATGCTAGGGAGCAGAAGCTGATCAGATGCAATTGTACACAGGTGTATTGCTATAGTAGTCCTGTCAATGATGCACATGTGGTTGCACCTCATGTGTCGTCCACACACAGGCGCACAGTACTGTACAAAATGATCGCCACATTGCGGACAGCTGACTCATTATGTGCTGTTCCTGGCTCGCGTGTATTGAGGGTGACAATGGTTTACTCTTGAGGCTCTGAGGATGGCGGCAGAGTAGATCTTTGGCGTCCGCTGGGGGAGTGATGATCAGACTGTCCATGCACAGGGGAGGCCACTGTCCGGGAGACAGCGATGGAGATAGGGAGAGGCTGCACCAAAGGGGCGCCTTGGACAGACGATGTGACCATGAATGCAGCGATGATGACGACACAGGGGAGGAGGAAGAGGGAGAAGAGGAGGCAGTAGATGGTGGGGATGGTGCCGCGGCAGCTGCAGGTGAGGGAAGGGGGTGGTGGTGGCAGGGAATCAGCAAGTGGACAAGCAATGGGGAAAGGCGGCAAAGTGATTAGCCCTCCGTTCAGCCCAACCACTCAGCTCTTTTCTTTGTAGGTCATCTGCAGGATTGAGCTGCAGTCCTTCCTTAGTCTGTGGCTGCACATACTCAGCAGCGGCAAATGCGGTTAGGTGTTGCAGTGTGTGTGTGGGTGTGTGTTACATGCCCAGTTGGGCAATGTATGTATAACCAAGGATCCACTATGTGATGAAAAGGACTGAATGGACAATGCAGTGTTAGTGGAATCTCAATAAGCAGTGTACATCCTGATACATACAAAGTGGCACTTTGTAGCGCAGTGGAAGACTTAGATATAAGCCCTGACCTGACCGGGACTGACCTCTCTCACGTAGTACAAGACAGCACAGCGGAATGCTAGAATACCAATGACTAGCCCAATCAATGTTGCAATGCAGACTAAACATACATCATCCTCATCACAAGGTGTGAAGGGGCCTGGCGCTACACTCAGGACGGATGCGCCAGGTCCAGACCATACACAGACGAAGAGGAGGGGATCAGATGAAGAAGAGGGGGGAGATGGGAATGTAGTCAACACCAAGTCTTCGGTACAAGTCCCAGATAATCCCTCGTCAATGTCTGAAGCCCAACGTCGAGTCTGGACCGAACGTCACCAATAGTCTGCTGATGCAGTGAAGTCAGGTAGCGAGAGGGTGGACTGGGAAGAGGAAGAAGAAGATCTATCTATCTTATCTTATCTTATCTTATCTTATCTTATCTTATCTTATCTTATCTTATCATCTATCTATCTATCTATCTATCTATCTATCTCATGTACCAGGTACTAACCTGTGAAGGTGGCGCTGTGCTGCAGGTACCTCGAAGACAAAGCTGGAGCTATGGCGCTGCAGGTAAGTCCCCCTGGCCTCCGCCCAATCTCTCTCTCTCTCCAGGACTACTCTAGCTCCTACTAGCGCCCAACGCTGAAGACTACTGCTAACGCTACTACTAATACTGCAGCGCTCCTCCAGAGTGCTGCTGCCGAATCCTGAAGACTACCTCCTGCCTCCTGAACTGCACGTGAAGTGCCTGGGAAGTCCCTATGAACTACCTGCAGCCTGCAGGGCAGGCCAGTCTTATATAGTGCTGGCCTGTCCAGGAGGCTGCTCTTGCCAATGCCAAAACGTGCCAGACCCTGGCATTGAAGCTCAAACAAAGGTTGTCTTGAAAACAGGCCCAAAATGCCTGTGCTAAAACCCTGGTCTGGTGCCTACGTTTCAGGGCAGGTCGATCTTATGAGGGTCTGAAAATGGCCCTCCGTTTCAGGCTGAAAAGACTCAGGACCTGGAGGGCCCTGTTTTAGGCTGAAACGACACAGGGCCTGTAAGCCCTTGTTTTCAGGCTTTCAGTCTGAAAACGACACGGGCCTGAAAATGGCCCGTGCAGCCTGTTGCAGGCGCAGCATGTAACAGTGTGTGTGTGTGCCAGGAGCCAGGGAGGAGGTCCCAGTTCAGCAGTACAGTGGTGAGTGCTAGTCCACGTATCCGCACAGTTTTTGAGCTGTGCATGCTGGGGCACCCCAACCCCCCCCTGTCCCCCGTCTCCTAGAAAACAAATGATTAAGAAGAAACACATACTGTCTACGCGCTTTCCAGGGTCGCATATGCCTGCACGTGCACATCTCATAAGCGGATGGTTGTGTACATCTGAGCATCCCATACACATACATGGTACAAACAGTGGGTGAGAGCTTGTCTTGACATGTGAGAAGACGAACAAGGTGTGCTATGGAGAGGTGCAAGTTTTTTTGTTTCTTCAATTTGGACCATTTCCAGATTTATGCTTGTCATCCTTGCGCAGGGGGCATATGCTAATATTCTCTGTATCGTTCCGATTTCAACAGCATAAGTTCAAATCCTGAGGCGGGTTCAGTTTTGAGCCTCGGCTTTCTGATTTCAGGTTTGACCATAGGCAGATGGCTTTTTGTAGCAGTTATCCATGGTTTTTCCTAAAATTTCATGAATTCCTCTAATTCTCAGATTGTTTTCCAAATGACTTGTATAATTCCATATGGGGCGCTGTGCCCGGTTGCCAGCACGTGCTGCTCCCCACGAAGAGATTGGAGCAATTGTCCCCCCCCAAAAAAAAAAATCTCCTTAAATAAATTAAACAAGCAGATGTGCGCCTACACCTGCGGCACAGAGCCACTCCGCCTCCTGCCCCCGTTCCTCCGCCACCTCCTCCTCCTCCTCCTCCCGTTTGGGCCATGCCCCCCTCCTACCCCCTTCGTTTTCTGCCATCCTGTTTCGGACCTTAGAGAACACACACAAAAAAATGCACAGCCGAAATTAGACGCAACTTGGGTCTTGGTGTGGCCAGGCACTGTCAAGCGGGCTGGGCAGCATCTCCACCTGCGTACTATGTACTCATATTCCACGCAGCAAATCCCAAAATGGGACCCCGGCTGCATGGAAGCAACCCAGGGTACGATTACAATCCGGCCTATGTACTCATATTCCACGCAGCAAATGCCACACTTCGCTCAACTTAAATGTGCCCGACTACGATTACAATCCGGCCTGGATGCATATGACTGCATTTACTGCATTGAGCCTCACTGCTCGTCACCTTCAGCACTCGCACATTCTGAGAGATCACACGGAAGTCCACACTGGAGACCAGAGATGCAAAATCCAGATAAGCGCCTTTTAGAAATTCCAACAATTATTATCATATTAAGCAGTTTCAGAGTTCCAGTCACGAGCACTCGTCAGCTCAGAGTTCAGCAACCCAATTCT